ATTGAAGGTTTTTAGGTGCGTCTTATAGTGCGGAAAATACGGTAATCTAACTTATGTCAAATCCTTCCTGCTTTGAAGAGAACATCTAACAAACAAATCATGAGCAGGTCTTTATATTAGACATTTGCCTGAAGCTACTTTATTGCTGTTTTAAACTAATATTTTATTCTTTATATTTCCCATTGGTGATCATCCCTCACCTGCTTCCATTTATTTTTGTACGTCACCATTTTTATGGTCTTTGTCTCCACCTGCTCCGTCTCTATCGCTTTGCAGCATTATTTCTGGTGCAGCAGTTTTCTGGGTGCTGACAGGTCCCAGTCTGTGTTGTTTGTGTTTGGAATGTATTTTGTAGTGTGGCTGCATCTGAGTGTGCATATGTCTCTTCACATACGTGTGTGTGGATGTGTTTGCAGACCTTTCGCTTCTCCGCTTGCCTCCCTAATCTGTTTTGGTTCTGTCTGCTGAGCCGGACACGGAGCCAATTACCTTTTAAAGGGCAAATCGGAGCCAAATGAGCCGCACTGAGCCACAGAGGTAAGGCTTAATAAAAGACTTTGTCTGCATCGCTGGCCATCTTACACAATATCCTACAAGCATCCTGAATCTTCACTGAGCAGCAGAGGTGGGTAGTAACTGGAAACATTTACTATTACATTTACTTGAATAATATCTTGAAGAAAAAAAAAATACTTTGAGCATTTTTACAAGACTGTATGCAGTATCTTATTTTAATGTGCTGCTACTAATTACTATCTACTGAGGTATCAAAATTTTATGGTGAAAATATTTGATTTTCTTCTACTTAAGAGTTATTTTGTAGTGACATCATCCATTTGTGTTATTTTATTTATTTTAGTTCTTAAGATATTTTATATATGTTTTTGTTTGTCCATCATTTTTAAAATGTGTGAGAAATTGCACATAAAATGAAACCAGCACTCCAGATACTTGCCCTAAAACAGTGAAGCTACATTTTGCCTAATGATTACAAGACTGGATCAAATATATCCTAAGTGTCCAAAATCAACATGATAGTCAATGTAAATGTGGAACTGTCAAAAAGACCTGAACAATCCAGAAACATCAGTTTCTCTTTTTCATGCTTTTTTCAAGCCTGCAAGCAGGATTTCTGCAAAGCAGTCACTTTTATTTCCCCAACAACGATTTGCTGTCAGCAGAAAGAGCAGAATGGCGTCTTCAAAAGGACAAGAGGAGACAGGGATCAGTTAAAGGGTCAAAGAGGGCCAACACGTGACTCTGTGCACTGACAGCGTAAAGTTATATATAACCCCCTCCAACTAAACACCCTCTGTTACAGAGGAAACAAGGAAACAACAATAGGATGTTTGATTTTCCCCAGGACCGAACAAGAAAGTACATCAGACCACAACAGTATCAAATAAGCTCATAGTAAGATTAGAAAAAGCTCTGCTGTTTTTGAAAACCATGCAGGACCTCTTTGTGCAATGTAGCGACAGTTCACCATTAAATCACCATTTGATAAATAAGCTGAACTTCCAACTCGTTTGCAGTTTAAGCTTGTTATCTCACACTCTGAATCCTTTTCTTTTTGGGGGTGAGGTGCGGGGCTGGGAAGGCAAGGCGGCTTTCAGCAAAGAGGTGAGTCACAGGCGCAGTTAGGAAGTTGCAGTCTGCTGGACAAATTTCTAGCAGCAGGAGACCTGCAGCAAACGCTAATGAAAACCACAATCCATAGCCAAGAAAATAATTGCTTCCAGGAACCACATAACAAGATTCCTGTGTTTTCTAAAAAAGGTGACATTGGAAAAAATCTGAAAGCAGCTCAGCGTGACATTACAGGCAAACATTTTCTTTTGTAGACTAACAGAGGACAGAATATGCTATTTAGCAGCCTCACTGGGACAGGATTTTTCAAGAATGAACATAAAGCTTCATCTCTCATCCCTACATGTTCCTTTCTGATCCTTACAACCCAGAAATATGGCAAATCACTAAGTGGAAAAAAGCATAGCTTTTGCCATTAATTCTCTGAGGCTGACACATGACTTTCATCAACGGATCTTCTGAGCGTCCACCGAGTTTCCAAAGATGCAGAAAATTTAATCACAGCAGCGGAAACCATGAAAAGCAACAATCTAATGCCGAATTTTGCACATAGAAGTCTGCAGGAACACACTCATATCCTTACTTACCAAATTCAATGCCATCTGGGTTGTGCATTTCTATCATTTCCATGCATTTCTCATGTTCACGCTTTATTATGCAGTGCCCAGACTCTGAGGTGACCTACAGAGAAACAAGAATTAAACTGGTGTCACATCAAAAGCAGGTTTCAGAAACCATTAAATCACATTCTGCTAATGCTTTATGAAATAACGCATGTTTGACACTTATTTGGAAAAAAAAAAAAAGCTGAAATTATGCTTGGGGGAGAGAGAAATTTGTAAATAATGACACAAATTGTTACTAATATTGCTTAACTGATAAAACTGGCAAGGAAAAACACGTTTGTGAAACAACTATATTTAATGTTTTCCCTGATTTGATTTATCTTTATTTTACTTTTTTATTTTAAGAAGAATAATTCTGGATTGAAAAGGTTTTAGATGCACTGGGGTTTTAAACTTGTAAAAGGTGTCAAAGCACCTGGACATTCAATAAAGCAATACATGAGATGAAGCACAAAAAGGGCCAAGCACATAACTTTGTGGAACTCCGTGCTTGAGAGTAATCAAACATGATCGGTCAAGTATGCTGGAGAAATACTTATAAATGCTAAATAAATACATTTTTGAGAATGGTCATTTGGGTGTTATCTTAATTTGATTTTTAGTTTTTACAGTACACATGTAAAATTGAAAGTTGTTGGAGACCTACAACAAATCTAACTTAGATATCTAATGAGTAGCGGCATTAATTGCAAATGTCTGTCATATTTATCAAGGTCAAAATTATTTGTTTCTCATTGAAGGTTTGGAGATGTTACTAATTCCTTATGCTGGTGATTAAAAAAAAAAAATCACAAACATCTAATGAAAACAAGTTGCTGGGCCTCTACAAATATTTACTGAGAAAGTCCTGACATTCTACCGGCTTGGTGCAACTTGAGGACAAAATGCAAAATGCAGAAACTGCACTTGCAGAGCGAAGCAACGTGAGACAGGACACAGGAACTATTTACTCAGAAGAGTTGCAGTCGCTGCTTGTCATCTTCTCACTCAACGTTTCCTGTCGCTCTCTTGAGGCCAATCTTTGATTTGCGCCCCCAGCCCCTCCTTTCCTCTCACAGTGAAATGATAGGTGTAATATATCCCAGCCCTCTGAGCCACGGCTGACTCATCACTCCATCTCTGCCCTCTGATATCAATTCACTTCGCTGCCCTGCTAAGACTGGGACGTCAACTGCCTGAAAATGTACAAGAATTCACTTCTTTCTTCGTCATGATGCGCGTGGCTGGAATTTGAAAACTGCTTGATCATGTATGAATCACATGAGCATCATCAGAGGTATCTGTGGTGTTAACACATCAAATCACGCAACAAAGAAACACAGCTGCTGCTTCTTTTCTTCTCAGCGAGGGTCAATATCGCCTGTTTTTCATATTACTGCTTTTTTTTTTTTGATCAATAAAACATTTTCTCCCATACTGTTCGAAAGGAAGAGCGCCTTTCAAACTCACACGTAGCATCCATGTTGCTAAGCAGCATATAACCAGCATACTGAAGGCAAAGCTTCCCACATGAGAAATAATTGGATGCAGATGACTAAGATATGTTTGGCATGAATTCAGACAGACCTGTCAGATGAAAGGATGAATGTGTTATTCTTAATCTATGCAAACAGAGCTGCAGATATGGTTATGCTTATTGAAAATAGATCTTTAGTTGGTTCCAGATCCTTTTATGCTTTGAATAATTTATTCTGATCATTTAAGACGGTTCTTTGCCAGTAGCTCCTAAATCAGAGTGTTTCTTTGGGAATTCTCATGTCCTTAATTTAAAACATTAGACAAAACAGCTGTTATAATAGATTTTAGCCAATAGAAGTTACAGTGTTAACATCAGAAGCATTAAATAGATGAAACAAAATAGTGAGCATATGACTTTTAGTAACATGGCGTCTCTGAACCTCTCAATCTGAAAACTGATATTAGCTAAAGTAATATTTTATCAACTCCCCTAGAATGTATCTGTGCTGTATATCAAATGTAATGAAAGATCATTTAAGCCTTTTAATTGCTGTTTTGACCAATAACATTACACTAAACCTTCTTGACTAAAACGTAGCTTGTATTTCATTTTACAAACACAAGGTAAATAGTATTTGTGAAATGGAAGAAAAATGATTCATGACTTTCAAGATTTTCTCCAAATTTAAAAGGTGTAGACTAATTGATATTTCTAAAACCTTAGGAAGCGTTTTGTCATTTGTTCTCCCAGAACCACATCCAGAGAATGTAGTTTTCGCCTGCTGGATCAGATGGAAAATGTCTGAACAATTTCATGGCTTTTGACAGATTTACGTCTGGGTTTTGACTAAGCCTTTCTCATATGTTGTTAATTTAAAGTTAGAGCCACACTTCCTGGCTCTATGCTGAGGGTCATGGTCTCCTGACTGTCCGAAATCTTTTGTATTGCTTAAAAGATCTCCTTCAATAACCTCCAGTATGGAGTTTAACCAATCTGACCCTGCTAGAGGAAAGCATCCCCATAGCATCATTATCTCACTGTAGGTGTAGTGTGTCCAGTTTAAAATTAAAGGCCACATTTCCTCTGTGTGCTATATATGACTTGAGGTAGAATTGGATTAGAAATTGTTTGATGCTTTCTTGCTGTAGTGGCTTTCTCTTAGCCACTCGTTAATAAAAATCAGATTTGTGTAGAGTAATTTCCAAATTGTACAAAGGCTTTTATTTTTCATCCACTATGTTACAAAAGCGTTTTACTTTGAGTACAATGATGAAACAGAAAAACATAACATCTGATGGCTAGAACACAGAACAAGACAAAAAAAGATGGAGAAGCTGAAGAACATTATGCAAATTCTCCTGAAATTCCACCTTAACCAGTCACCATGGCAATACTGCAGGGATCCGAAATCAATGAGACACATTTTCATGTGTGCTTCTTATTCTCCACTTTCAATCATTTCTCCTCTCTGAAACAGATGTCTGTCCAGATAAACCCTCCATCCTGCAACTGCACAACACACTGTTTCCCTCCCCAAGGCTATTTTCTAAGACCGGATAGCTCTGTGACTCCCACAGCAGTGTGCAGAACAGATAATAAAATTCCCATTTGACATGGCAGACCATCGGATCCACCGTAAAGACCAGAGTCCATACAAATAACGAGCACATTACTGCATGGCTAAAGGACATGGTAAGGACACCTTGTACGTTAGGATGAGGGTTTGTTTTTTTTGTTTTTTTTTCATCCAAGATGGCATTTTTAATTAAATGTAATCCTAGGTGAGGAAAGATCAAACTGCTTTGTTAATTAGGTGTTGCATTTTGGTTTCCTTTTAGAATCGGGTAAAATAAGTGGGAATCTGACTGATGCAGCTTTTAAAGTCCAGCTGTGTTGCATCAGGGCGCCTAATATGATTCCTCCCACTCATCTTTCATCCTTTTTAATTGCAATGGGAGCGCTAATAACTGTGAGTCACAGCAGTAGGATTCACAGCTCTCCGGTCAGCCAGGCCATCTGTTATTGTTCTAAGAAGAGGGCATACGGCTTAACACGAAGCTGATCCTGGAACTGTAACGTATGCTGATGCTGTCGGTGGGGAAATTTTATGTATTATTTATTTATTTTTTTATAACCACAGCACATATACTACACATGTGCACAGGCATGTTTAGGAAAACAAAGATTAACCTGAGACATGGGATGCCGGTGGTGCAGGCGTGCAAACATTTCATCTTACATCTTACACGACTGCAAACCTGCACGCATATTCAGAACATGCAGACAAATGACTCACCAGGTGCAGGAACAAAAAAATTGCAGTGAGCAGGTAGCCTCTCATCGTGCCTGGTGAAGAGTGTGTGTCCAAATGGCTCAGCAGTATCGGTTTAAATGTGGATTGGTATTTGAAGGGATTCGCTGGAATCTGGTTCTTGGTGTCACAACAACATTAAGGACTCTGAAATGTGCACAAAAGAGAAGACGGAGCATCAATATACAGATTTACTCAATGAAATTGTTAATTAAACAAATATGTATGCAGCAAAATGATTTATGCATGTTTTTTTTTTCCTTTGGATAATGAAAAACAAATCTGAAACATAAAGATATATCCTCCCTTCTACCACCTCTAGTCAATAATGTGACAAACCGCCCTTTATTTTGAATACTGCTTTGGATGTCTATAAGCTTTATACACCAAACATTTTCACAGATTATTATTTGTACTGGGGCGGTGTCCTATAACTGTAGGTTGCCAGTTCAAATCTTCACTCATCCTGCCTCAGTAGTTGAGCTCTTGGGCAAGACACTTCCCCTGGTTTGCCTGCTGGTGGCGATCAGAGGATCCGGTGGTACTGATTGTATGTCAGCCTCACTTCTGTCAGCCAGGGCAGCTGCAGCTACAACGTAGCTCGCCACCATCAGTGTGTGAATGACTGGCAGTAATGTAAAGCACTTTGGAGTCCTCGGAGTTAGCAAAGCACTATAAGCATTTAGACCATTTACAAAAACTCAAGCTCAGTTAGAACCTCAGGGACGTCTCTGTAAGTCTCCCCAAAGATTCTCAATTTGATTATTTTCATCTGGCCTTTGACTGGGCCATTCTGACACATGTATTGATCAGAGCTATTCCGTTATAGTCCTTGCTGTGCATATAAGAATCGTCGTCTCTTCCATGACTGTGATGCATTTAAATTCAATCATCTTCCCATCAGCTGAGTCAGAGATTTGTATTTCTACTGACATTAAATTATGCACAGATAGGCTCTATAACCTTTGGAGGTATATTAGTTGATACAGCCAGTGTATTACATACACCGGATGTAATTAAGGAGCAGCCAAAAAGATGGCAAAGTGTTCAGATTAACTATAAAATTTATTTATTTGGTATTTTGTGTTGATCTATCAAATGAAAACCAAATAAAATCCATTAAGATTTGGAGTTCTAATGTGACAAGCAAAAAAAAAAAAAAAAAAAAAAGGGCAAAAAAAATTTTTTTTTTTTTTTTTTTTTTTTTTTTAAAATTTTTTTTTT